TATTGGGCCAACTGCTTCGGGCGGAGGAAACTCGACCTATACTAGGAAGAGGAAATGCAACCTGAAAACTTTATGTTCTTTCGCAGCTAGTCTAGGAGGGAAGCTCCGACAGGCGGACAGATAGAGCACTACTCTTCTCATCCGGCAGCTTCTGCAGCCTGCCTTGTTCCAAACGTACTGGTTTTATCTTTCCTTTGGAGTAAACATGGCAGGTCGAGAGAGGGATCATTATGCATGGGTAACATATGGTCTCTACAATACTGCCCAGGCTTGGTGCTATGGAGAAGAGGTACTTCATCCCTGGCCTTAATCGGTCTCGCAAACAAATCGAGAGGCAGCAGTTACAGGTTATAAGTCCTTGTCAGTTGGCGTAGACAGGGGTACCACGGGTTGCCTATAACGGTGGGAAACTTCTTTGAATGTCACGGATCAACTACCGCCCGCCTCAAGCTGGGCAGCCAGCAGCCGATAAGATGTGGATCCACCACAGCTTGTATGCTTCAATGGGAGATTGGAGCTAGGACAAAATCCCAACTGCGGGCTGTAAAACAAATGCACCAGGCAATAAAATAGAAACATAACCCCAAGCTTCGACTTGGCTCTTGGAACGTGAGGTCCATGAGTCCCGGGTTTGCCTCTGACCTGGAAAACATTAATGATGTGAGAGAAACGGCAAACATTGATGACGAACTCAACAAACTTGACATAGATATTGCTGGCCTAAAGGAAACATGTCTGCCACAGGACTGGTCCATAAGAGAAAATAATCACAATTTTTTCTGAAAAGGCAGAGGCCATGAAGAAAGGATGTATGGAGTGGGATTTGCAGTAAAGAATGTACTGTTATGATCAGTTGAGAGTCCAACTGGAAGAAGTGACAGAATATTATCTCTACGATTATCTACCTCAAGCAGTTTTATTACCCTTGTTACTGCATGTGCACCCACTCTAGCGTCAACAGAGGACACCCATGATTCTTGTTATGAAGAACTGGACAATGCTGTGAAAGCAATTCCTAAATCTGACGGCATCGATATACTTGGTGATTTTAATGCTCGCGTGGGGCCAGACAAACTCATGGCCAGTTTGTCTTGAAAAATATAATGTTGGCCACATGAATGAAAATGGGCAGAGACTACTGGAATTCTGCACTAAAAGCGACTTGTGCATAAAAAACTCCTTTTTCAAAACTAAAGACCACCATAAGGTGTCATGGGAACTTCTAAGATCTGGCCACTGGCACCAGCTGGACCTTATTCTCACAAGGAGGCAGCACTTGAACTGTGTATCACTAACTCGCAGCTACCACAGTGCTGACTGTGATACTGACCAGTCCCTAATTCCTGCAAGAGTTTGGATAAAACCAAAAATAATTTTCACTTAAAAAAAATATATATATCCCTAGGTTAAATATTTCCAAAACAAAAGACCCTGAAACGTGTTTTGAGTTTCAACAACAGCTTGAAGATGCTGTCACTGATATCCAGGATACCTCTATAGCAAGCCTAAAATGTGATGAAGTTAGGGAGACTGTTTATAAAACAGCTGTATCAGTCCAAGGGATAGGAGAACATAGAAGTAAGGACTGGTTTGAAGCAAATAGCCAGACACTCCAACCTTTAACTAAGAGCAAAGTTAGTTAGTTAGTTAGTCTTTCCTCTTGTGTCGAGTGCGGCACATAGGGCAGAGGTCATGACTCTCCATGCATGGCGGTTCGTTGCAATCCGTTGTAGGTCTTGGATGTTTGAGTGGCCCATGATCGAGCCTTCCCTGATGATAGTTCTACGTAGGGTTTCCCTTGGTCTTCCACGAGATCTTTTCCCCTGTGGTGTCCAAATGAGGGCTTGGTAAGGAAGTCTTGATTTATCCATTCTAAGGGCGTGGCCGAAATAGTTCCAGCGGCGTTTTCGTATAAAATTAGACACATACTCTTGCCTGGATTCTTGCCTTATTTGTGTATTTGTTCGGAAATCTGACCATTTGAAATTTAGTATTCTTCTAAGGCATTTATTTTCAAAACTGTCTAATTTTGTGTCTAGAGTTTTCGTTGATTTCCAGCTCTCGCATCCATAGGTTAGTACTGGAATCACACAAGAATTGAAGATCTTGAGTTTTGTGTGTTTGCTAAGTGTCTTTGATTTCCAGATGTTAGACAGTTTATTGAAGGCACTAGATGCCAGTGCTATTCTAAATGATATTTATGGTGCGGTATCTACTGTAGATGACATCTTGCTCCCTAGATAAGTGAAACTGTTGACTTTTTCAAGGCTGTTGTTGTTCAGCGTGATATCAACTGAACTGTTGGTAAAGTCTAGAATTTTTGTTTTTGCGGTGTTAATTTGGAGTCCAATTTGTTCTGAGAATTTTTGGAGTCGATTGATTTTTTCTTGGGCGTCTGTGTGTTCTGAACTCAGGAGTGCTATGTCGTCGGCGAAGTCTAGGTCTTCCAGAATTTTGTCAACCCATGTAATGCCTAAATTTGCGTTATTTATGCACTTGCGCATGACCCAGTCGATTGCTATACCAAAAAGCATCGGCGATAGGACACAGCCTTGCTTCACTCCTGTTTCCACCGGGAACCAGTCAGAATTGCCGAAATCAGTTCTTACACAGCATCGTGTTTCATTATAAAAAGATTTTATGATGGTGATATATTTGATGGGGAAACCATAGATGTTAAGCAATTTCCAGAGTGTTGGACGATGGATACTGTCGAAGGCTTTTTGAAAGTCGACAAAGTTGATCAATAATTTCGACTGGAATTCTGTAGAATCTTCAACAATTATTCTAAGAGTAAAGATGTGGTCTAATCATGACCGCTTGGATCTAAAACCGGCTTGTTCTTCCCTTAATCTTTCATCTATGGATTTTTTTAATCTTTCTAGTAGCATACTACAAAATAGTTTCCCTGGTATCGAAAGCAGGGTGATGCCTCTCCAGTTGTTACAATCGGATAAATCACCTTTTTTAGGTAATTTGAAGATTACACCATCTTTCCATTGTTGTGGTGGGTATTCGTTTAGCCAGACTTCATCATCCATCAGCTGGAGCAAATGTTGCAGGGTGTTTTCATCCGCTGCTTTGAGCATTTCCCCTGAGATGTTGTCCTCTCCGGTAGCTTTGTTTATTCTTAATTTTTTTAATAGCTGTTTTAATCTCCTCTATTGTGAATGACTCGCTGGAGGCAACTAGTGTCGGTGTAATAATTTCTTCTTCTAGATTGGGAATGATGTCAGGATTTGGCCTATTTAATATTTCCTTGAAATGTTCAGCCCATCGCTTTGTTTGTTGGTCGTCGGATAGCAGTAGTTTACCCTGCTTGTCTTTAATGGGTGTAATTAGTGTAGGTGAGTGATTGCACAGTTGTTTCATAATATGGAATAAGGCTTTGTTGTTTCCAATCTTGGCAGCTGTTTCAGCATCGGAGGCGAGGTCGTGTATGAAGTTCTGTTTGTCTTTCCTTGCATTTGATTTCACTTCTTTGTCTAGCGTGCTGTATTTTTCGTATAAAGATGTGTCTTTTTTGGATAAAAGTGTTAATTTTGCTTGTTTCCTTTCTTGGATTTTTGACCAAGTGTTGTCGCTTAGCCACTTCTTCTTCTGCTTTTGTACATAACCAACTGTGTTTACTACAGCGTTCGACAGTGTGTTCTTGAAAAAGTCCAAATTTTTGTCTATGTTATTTGTAGTATCCACATTATTAGTTTTGGTTACATAGGTGGTGAGTATCTCTGCATTAAATGCGCTTTGATGATCTTTTGACAAAAGGGCTTGTAAGTTTATTTTCTTATTTCTGGGTAGTTTAAGTAGAGATTTGAGTTTAATTTTTAGTTTGGCAATACAAAGATTATGATCACTGCCAATATCAGCTCCCCTGTAGGCTCTAACGTCTTGCACTGATGTACGGAATTTGGCGTTGATGCAAAAATGATCTATCTGGTTTTTTGTTATGTTATCTGGCGAAATCCAGGTTGTTTTATGTATGTCTTTATGCGGAAATAAGTAGCTTGCTGCTGTTAGATTTGCTATTTCACAGAGTTCAATTAGCCTCTCTCCGTTTTGATTCATATCTCCTGGGCTGTGTACTCCCATATATTTTTGAACACCTTAAGAGCAAAAGACAATGAAAATGAAATTTATTGAAACTGAAATTTACTGCAAAAAGGAAAATAATGAAATCGATTGAAAATTGTGCGCCATTAATGACATTAAACATAAAATTTAATTTGATGAGATAAATTGTTAATGAAATTGCAACAAGGTATAAATTTTGTCAGGGAAAAGGGAAATAATTTGTGTCAATTGAATAACAAGTAACGGAAATCACTTAAATTATGGTAAATGGGTTAGAGCTCCTGTGTGAGGCAGCATGAAGATCCAACTGAAACGGGCATTAGTGGGAGTGTCCAGTGAGTGCAGATAGCGACGATGAGACTTTGCAGAGTAACATTACCTTGTCATAACCGTTAGGGACTTCCGCACGGATTTAGGGTGCCCTGGGGTGTTGTTCTGTCTTTAGGCAGACTGTGGGATGGGATGGGAGGTTTGCAGAATCTATATAGTCTTCCGCACAAATTGTCGGGGTCTTGTAGTGTTGAAAGCAGTATGCTACACTGTACTCACTGGTCGCGACGACTGAAGATGTTTTAAATGAAAGATACGATCAACCATAAGGGTATGCAATAGATTTTGCCAATTAGAATAGTGGAAATACCCAGATCAATACAATGGATGAACCCATGACCGTTAAAAGATAATGAAAAGGAAAAAAAACAAGTAAGCTTTATTTTTTATTTTTTTTACAAGAGTAGGGGAGAATATGTGATGACGGGAATTTCCACAGCTGTTTTCTAATGACGTGACAATGCTAAACATAGGTTAAGAGAAGAACACGTAAGAGCATGAAGACTCGCTAAAGCACGAGGTAAATGAAGAGTGCTCAGGTGACAGCACGAGAGACCCAGAACGAGGGTTGAAAGATTAGATACTAGGAAACACACCGGACAGGTCGGGCTGGTCGAGTGGTCACAGACAGACAATACTTGGTGTTGGCGTTGAGTTTCAATGTCACGCTGTTGTCAAACCGGCCTCCATCTTGTTTTCTATAAACTGCACCATAATCATGTGATCTCTTCAAAGTCAACTGGATTTTTAAGGTGGCGCTGGAGGTCATTCTGTGAACATAAACATCTGTGTGAACATGAACATATGTGGGAAATGAACATATGTGTTAACATAAACATATGTGTGAACATAACCATTTATGTGAACATTAAAATGTGTATGAACTTCTGTATACACAAGCATGTGTGTGAATATGAACATGTGAGCCAACATCTATATGTGTGCGAACATGAATATGTTTGTGAACTGTCAGGGGTCGTCCCGGTTTCGGGACAGTTCAGTATGATGATGATGAATCCTAGAGATAGATCGGCGACCCTTAGCTAAACTCAGTATATACACGCATGAATGTGAGTTAGCTGAACAAGGCTGAGTGAAACTCAGCGTGGCTTGTTCAAGGCCGGTGGGTTTCACATAGGCCTGACGGCCTCGTGGATACTGCAGGGGTAACAAAACTGCTGTGCAAAGCACAGTTCAGGACTCTCTTGGCTGAAGACTTGTGTTGTAGACCTCGTGAGTGACCGGACCGTTAGATTGTGATAGTTTCATTGACAGATCGCATTGACTAGCAGAAATGTATTGTCGTAGTTATTAGCTGTAATGCGTACTGTTCGTGGTGTGATTCAATGTGTTTAATACGTTACAGTGTAGGTAATACTACGTGTTCCATTTAGATCTTAGTTGGCCTTAGATTTAGGAGAGTAGCTAGTCTTTGCCAGTAGTTATAACTCTTAACGATAAGCCAGACCATGCATTGTTTGTGGCGTTAGCACAGGTCGACGCACCTCTAGGCCACACGTGGCGTGTGCCCTAGCATCTTTGGCATCGGTAAACGGCGGGTTGAGTTAGCGCTGTACGGGAGTGTGGTAAAGTTTATTTCATGAACGTGAAAAGGCGCGTCTAGGGATTTTAAAGTTCAAAGGGGCCTGGTTTCAGAATAAGGAGCGCTGCCCCTTCTGAAGTGTAGGCCTACTAGTGGGTTTCTTTTGATAATAAAGATTGTGTGTGTGTTTCAACCATTGTTTGGCTTGGGTGTGTTTGTCAGTAATGTTTTTCTGTCATTAGCCTGCAGCGTAGCCAATGGAATCAAACGCTAGACATTTAGTTTCTTGACAGGAAAAGTGGAGCTCTCGTTCCGTAGGATTTAAACCAAATTGACAGGAAAAGAGGGTGCTATTACCATGGATTTTGTTTGAACCCAAGGTGCTTGGTTAATTGTTGACAGGATCGCAATTGTTTGAATTTTAAAAGGAAAAGTGTCCTTAGGAATTTAAGTTAGTTTACTGTAAATTACCAGGAAAGATGGGAATCTGTTAGGGTGTCAAGAGTTAATAATAGTATTTAATATTATCATAGATTAGGGCTAGGGTGATGCTATTATTTTCCCTTAATATTAGATACAGCTTTGGAGATGAGGCCTTAATTGTTGATGACGTTGTCGGTTTGACAGCGTGACCGGCTTCATCTCTCAATAATAGATAGCTATAGGGGGATTTCATTAGTGTCATTACAAGTGTAAGATTAAAATGTTTGCTAGATAGAAAAAAAAGCTTGTAAGTTGTTGTTCGTTTTCATGTAGTATGTTCAACATTACTGGATGTTATTAGAGGTAATAACAGTAGTAAAGGAACGACATAATCCAGCGTATTTTTCTTGGGTTTTTGTTCTTTGGGCTATATTAAAAAAAACTCAGCATTGAAAAGAGAGGAAAATACTCCCTCCCTCGCCATGGGTCCCTCAACATGGGCCAAAGAAGAAAAAAACCCTCCGGAGGAGGGTTGGATCCCTTTAACCCCATACTCTCTATATGCTTTTAGGTATTTATCAGTGGTTGCGAACATGCTTTGTAATCCGGGAGTGCTGGGTTCGAGTCCTTTTAAATGTATGAGTGGTCATTAGATGTATTATTGGTTATTGATTCATGTATTATAATGGTGGGTAATGTTTTAGTATCTATAAACATAATCCCAAGGTTGGCGCCCTTTGACAACATACTCATGACACTGCGGTTCCCGACATAAAAATGTGTGTCCCAAAGCGTGAAGCTTAAGGTAATATTATATGTTGTTAATAATTTCCCCCAGGCAGGCTCATCCAAATCAGCACGCAACAACTGGCTACACTTCTTGTATACGGAATAACCTTTTTGTATACGGGCTAAATTTTCTGTACACGGACTACACTTCCTGTATACGGACTACACTTCCTGTATACGGACTTCACTTTCTGTATACGGACTACACTTCCTGTATACGGGATAACCTTTCTGCATACGGGCTACACTTCCAGTATACGGTCTATACTTCCTGTACATGGAATAACCTTTCTGTATACGGTCTACACTTCCTGTACACGAAATAACCTTTCCGTAAACGGGCTACACTTCATGTATACGGTCTACACTTCCTGTACACGGAATAACCTTTCTGTTTACGGTCTTCACTTTCTGTACAGGAAATAACCTTTCCGTATACGGGCTACACTTCATGTATAAGGTCTACACATCCTACACACGGAATAACCTTTCTGTATACGGTCTTCAGTTTCTGTACAGGAAATAACCTTCCTGTATACGGTCTACACTTCCTGTATACGGTCTACACTTCCTGTACACGGAATAACATTTCTGTATACGGTCTTCACTTTCTGTACACTAAAAAACCTTTACGTATACGGACTACAATTCCTGTATAGGTGCTACATTTCCTGTATACGGGCTAGACTTCTTGTATACGGTCTACACTTCATGTATGCGGGATAACCTTTCTGTATACGAGCTACATTTCCTGTATACGAAATAACCTTCCTGTACACGGAATAACCTTTCTGTATATGGGCTAAACTTCCTGTATACGGAATAACCTTTCTGTACACGGAATACACTTCCTGTATACGGTCTACACTTCCTGTATGCAGGATAACCTTTCTGTATACGAGCTACATTCCCTGTATACGAAATCACTTTTCTGTATATGGTTACATTTCCTGTATACGGTCTACACTTCCTGTATACCGGCTACACTTCCTGTTTAATCGGCTACACTGATTGTATACCGGCTACATTTAATGTTTAACCGGCTAAACTGACTGTATACTAGCAACAATTCCTGTATAACCGGCTACACTGACTGTATACCAGCTACACTGACTGTATACTGGCTCCACTTCCTGTATAACCGGCTACACTAACTGTATATCGGCTACACTGACTGTTTACCGGCTACACTGACTGTATACCGGCTACACTTCCCGTATAACCGGCTACACTAACTGTATACCGACTACACTTCCTGTATAACCGGCTACACTGACTGTATACCGGCTACACTTCCTGCATAACCGGCTACACTAACTGTATACCGGCTACACTTCCTGTATACCGGCTACACTGACTGTATACCGGCTACACTTCCTGTATACCGGCTACACTGACTGTTTATCGGCTACACTGACTTATACCAGCTACACTGACTGTATACCGGCTACACTTTCTGTTTAACTGGCTACACTGACTGTATACCAGCTACAATGACTGTATACGGGCTACACTGACTGTGTACCGGCTAAACTTCCTGTATACCGGCTACACTGATTTTATACCGTCTACACTGACTGTATACCGGCTACACTTCCTGTATACCGGCTACACTGACTATACTGGCTACACTTCCTGTATACCGGCTACACTGATTGTCCGGCTACACTGATTGTATACCGGCTACACTGACTGTATACCGGCTACACTGACTGTATACCGGCTACACTGACTGTATACCGGCTACACTGACTGTATACGGGCTGCACTGATTGTATACCGCCTACACTGATTTTATACCGTCTACACTGACTATACTGGCTACACTTCCTGTATACCGGCTACACTGACTGAATACCAGCTACACTTCCTGTATACTGGCTACACTTCCTGTATACCAGCTACATTTCCTGTATACGAAATAACCTTTCTGTATATGGTCTACATTTCCTGTATACGGTCTACACTTCCTGTATACCGGCTACACTTCCTGTTTAACCGGCTACACTGATTGTATACCGGCTACATTTACTGTTTAACCGGCTACACTGACTGTATACGAGCAACAATTCCTGTATAACCGGCTACACTGACTGTATACCAGCTACACTGACTGTATACTGGCTCCACTTCCTGTATAACCGGCTACACTAACTGTATATCGGCTACACTGACTGTTTACCGGCTACACTGACTGTATACCGGCTACACTTCCCGTATAACCGGCTACAGTAACTGTATACCGACTACACTTCCTGTATAACCGGCTACACTGACTGTATACCGGCTACACTTCCTGCATAACCGGCTACACTAACTGTATACCGACTACACTTCCTGTATAACCGTCTACACTGACTGTATACCGACTACACTTCCTGTATAACCAGCTACACTGACTTTATACCGGCTACACTGACTGTCTACCGGCTACACTTCCTGTATACCGGCTACACTTCCTGTATACCGGCTACACTGACTGTATACCGGCTACACTTCCTGTATACCAGGTACACTGATTGTATACCGGCTACACTGATTGTATACCGGCTACACTTCCTGTATACCAGGTACACTGATTGTATACCGGCTACACTGACTGTCTACCGGCTACACTTCCTGTATACCGGCTACACTTCCTGTATATACCGGCTACACTTCCTGTATACCAGGCTACACTGATTGTATACCGGCTACGCTGATTGTATACCGGCTACACTTCCTGTATACCAGGTACACTGATTATATACCGGCTACACTGATTGTATAATGGATTGTATAACCTTTCTGTATACGGGCTACACTTTCTGTATACAGAAAAAGCTTCCTGTACACGGAATAACCTTTCTGCATACGGGCTACACTTCCTGTAT